TATTCCTACTGTTTTGTTACTAGGTAAAAATGAATGATTTCAGGATTACCGTATAGTTATTGACCATTTCCCACCATGTCAATTATCAGAAAGAATCTAAACCCAGGTACCTCAGCTTTAAGTACAAACACAGTTACGTGCTACGTCTGCGTATCATCAGCAGCAGGTTTTTACAGGACTAAACATCTGACGCCTGACTCCGCCCACAGGAACATTTCAACATTCTCTCTACAATGGGCGTTGCCTGACGGATCAGGAGACAAGGAGGGGGACTTAGCAGGGCGTGATCTGGGCTGTGATTGACAGCTCACGTGTCAATCACAGTGAAGAAGATGACAAAGTCTGGGATCGCGTCTTTCATTCAGACAGAAGACATGTTTTATTGTCAATGGTAGAGACAGCACAAACAAAGCACACGATCACAGATACAACAGAATGCAAGTGTATTATACAGAGCGGAGGCATGGAGACCTCCAATCAGCAGCTGCCACGGTGTGCTTGTAGCTTGGCCTTCAGATAGACAAAACAAGGGAAAAGTACTGGCTTCTGCACATTGATAGATTGATGAGTTTAACTTTAACAAAAGTTGCTTAAAAGTGTTATGAAATCTCACAACAGCAGAAACACAAAAAAAACGAAATCAGACAGTTGTAATTGCTGTCTCGAAGCAATAGTTTACACTTCAGAAAGTCTCAATCCATCCTTGTTTACACACTAAGATAATTGTTTAGTTATAAACTGCTGAACCTGAGAAATATTGCAGAATTATCTCAGCAGTAGTGACTCAACTGCTGTAATTTAATTTTACTCCACTAGATGTCGCCAGAACACCCCAACCTGATACTGGGGCGTGTGTGAGACTTGGACCAAATTCATGGCACCACAGACGATTTTAGGCTCTAATTTGCATTAAAATGTAAAAACAAAAAAAGACCAGGACATGTAGAGAGCACTATAAGAAACATTTATCGATTTGGTGTTTAGTTGTCCTTTAAAGTTTGGGCTAAAAACTGGAGAATTTGTTGCTTATCTGTCTTTACTGGAAGCTCTTTAGACAGGTCTAGATAGTCCGTGGGGGGTCGTGCGGGTCTGCCGCAGCAGAATACACATCTTCAGGAGAGAATGGGGTTGATCAGACCTTGCGGTGACCAACGCGTTGCGCAAGTGACGTCTCGTCACCTCCGTAAGCTCCGCGCCGCGCGAGTATAAACTAGGCTTAAAACATCTGATGAGTTGTAATACTCTACATTAAAAGGTAAATAGGAGGATTTTCAACTTCCGTGAGGATCATCAAGACTATTTGTCCTTTCAATTGTCAATCATTCTGGTCATACGAGCTCATACAAGAGAGTTGTTCAAAAAGTGGAGAGGATGGTTCTTTCCTAAAATTTGGGGAAACCCTCCTACATACCTTTAATACACTAGCTATGTAATGTAGAGAATCCATGTATAGTTTAGTAGTATGGGTTCAGTACGTACCTCTTCCTTCCGAGAAAGTGGAACTGAAACCCTGAAGCAGCTCAAAAAATCTCTCTCTCTCCCTCCCCTCCCCCTCTCTCTCCCCCTCCCCCCCTCTCTCTCCCTCCCCTCTCCCCCCCCCCCCCCCCCCCCCCCATCTGCCTGAAAAAAAACCAAACTTCCAGGTGTCTCTGGTGGGCAAAGATCTCGTTTAAGAGCCTTGATTTTCGACACTTTAGAAGAGTCACTTTGAAGGTGGGAAGTCTGACCCTTTTATTTGACACGTTCCTATGGAAAAGCGTGACACTGGTCCGAACAACACGCCAACCTTTCCCACAGTCATCTGTCGTCTGCATGTCAGTAATTACAAATACAGACAAAACATGTTCATAACAGGCCACATATCTGCAGTCTGAGGCAGACAGAGACCAGAGGGAGACCAGAGGGAGACCAGAGAGAGACCAGAGGGAGACCAGAGGGAGATCAGAGAGAGATCAGAGTGAGACCAGAGAGAGACCAGAGAGAGACCAGAGAGAGACCAGAGAGAGACCAGAGGGAGACCAGAGGGAGACCAGAGTGAGACCAGAGTGAGACCAGAGTGAGACCAGAGAGAGACCAGAGAGAGACCAGAGGGAGACCAGAGAGAGACCAGAGGGAGACAGGAGAGAGATCAGAGAGAGACAGGAGAGAGATCAGAGAGAGACCAGAGAGAGACCAGAGAGAGATCAGAGAGAGACCAGAGAGAGATCAGAGAGAGACCAGAGAGAGACCAGAGAGAGACCAGAGGGAGACAAGAGAGAGACCAAAGAGAGAGATGTGGTAAACAGTGACCTATGTACTGCACAGGTGGACAAATGCAAGACAAAATAGTATTAATAACCTGGCGTAACCCCCTAACCCAGACGTACATGTAGGAGATGATCAATGGCCGGAGTTTACGGACGGCTACGGCTAAGCTAACAATGGCCGAATCTTAACTTGTCCCAGATTGTGCCGGTCGTAAATCTGTCGCATGTGTTTGTTTTCTCAGAGACTCTGCCACGGCTCACGGTGAATCCCGGGTTCAACGTCACCTTAACAAACTTTATATTTTTTAATGATGTTGTCCATCCATCCATCTTCTACCCTTTAATCCATTTCTGGGTCAGGGGGGTGGCAGTCAGAGATGCCACCCAAGTCTCATAGCACCAGCCCCTCACTGACCCTCTGCAGGTGGTGAGTCCACAGGAGGCTGCTCTCTGAGTGTGAGCATGATATTTTTTAATGATGTTGTCCTCCTCATAAATCTGTCTATCTGTTTAAGTTATGTTCTTTGTTCTAAACTATTTTCACAGATTGGCTAAGTCTGAGAGATTTACACCAGGGGTCTCCAATCTGTAGCTCGCCAAAGGAATTAGAATTTAACAAATGATCTTGAATGAATCCTTTTTGAGCCATTCCATGTCTATTATAAGTATAAACACAGGGTTAGACAGTATTATGGTGTATTTTATATGTGTTCTCGGAGTTTGGTCGTAATTATTCGATTGACTTTTATTACGACTGCAAAAAGGAGTAGCTCTCTGCCTGTTTGTATAAAAGTAGCTCTCTGATTGAAAAGGTTGGAGACTCCTAATTTACACTAACTGCTGGAGGCTGAAAGTGTTTTTGTTACAGACTGAAGGATGCCAGGTCTGTGTCTGGGGCCTTCCTGTCTCGGGTCGACAAACCGTAGAGTTCCTCACGGGGATAGTCAGGCCTTTTATATGAAATACAGTTGGACATGGGAAGAGCGAGACGATTTCCCAAATTCATATCACAACAGTTGACATCACAGGAACTTTTATTTGAAGTCACAAGTCAGAGAGTCTCTGTCTCTCTCTCTCTCATAATGTCTTTCTTACTAAGATTGTACTATTTAAGCATTTCCTGAATTCCATCTGCCTGAAAAAAAACAAACTTCCAGGTGTCTCTGGTGGGCAAAGATCTCGTTTAAGAGCCTTGATTTTCGACACTTTAGAAGAGTCACTTTGAAGGTGGGAAGTCTGACCCTTTTATTTGACACGTTCCTGTGGAAAAGCGTGACACTGGTCCGAACAACACGCCAACCTTTCCCACAGTCATCTGTCGTCTGCATGTCAGTAATTACAAATACAGACAGAACATGTTCATAACAGGCCACATATCTGCAGTCTGAGGCAGACAGAGACCAGAGGGAGACCAGAGGGAGACCAGAGAGAGACCAGAGGGAGACCAGAGTGAGACCAGAGGGAGATCAGAGAGAGACCAGAGAGAGATCAGAGAGAGATCAGAGAGAGACCAGAGAGAGACCAGTGAGAGACCAGAGAGAGACCAGAGGGAGACCAGAGGGAGACCAGAGTGAGACCAGAGTGAGACCAGAGTGAGACCAGAGTGAGACCAGAGGGAGAACAGAGGGAGACAGGAGAGAGATCAGAGAGAGACCAGAGGGAGACAGGAGAGAGATCAGAGAGAGACCAGAGTGAGACCAGAGAGAGACCAGAGAGAGACCAGAGAGAGACCAGAGAGAGACCAGAGGGAGACCAGAGGGAGACCAGAGGGAGATCAGAGAGAGACCAGAGTGAGACCAGAGTGAGACCAGAGTGAGACCAGAGTGAGACCAGAGTGAGACCAGAGGGAGACCAGAGGGAGACCAGAGGGAGACCAGAGTGAGACCAGAGTGAGACCAGAGGGAGACCAGAGGGAGACAGGAGAGAGATCAGAGAGAGACCAGAGGGAGACAGGAGAGAGATCAGAGAGAGACCAGAGTGAGACCAGAGTGAGACCAGAGAGAGACCAGAGAGAGACCAGAGAGAGACCAGAGAGAGACCAGAGGGAGACCAGAGGGAGACCAGAGGGAGACCAGAGGGAGACCAGAGGGAGACCAGAGTGAGACCAGAGTGAGACCAGAGGGAGACCAGAGGGAGACCAGAGGGAGACAGGAGAGAGATCAGAGAGAGACCAGAGGGAGACAAGAGAGAGACCAGAGTGAGACCAGAGTGAGACCAGAGTGAGACCAGAGTGAGACCAGAGTGAGACCAGAGTGAGACCAGAGTGAGACCAGAGTGAGACCAGAGAGAGACCAGAGAGAGACCAGAGAGAGACCAGAGAGAGACCAGAGAGAGACCAGAGAGAGACCAGAGAGAGACCAGAGAGAGACCAGAGAGAGACCAGAGGGAGACCAGAGAGAGACCAGAGGGAGACCAGAGGGAGACAGGAGAGAGATCAGAGACAGACCAGAGTGAGACCAGAGTGAGACCAGAGTGAGACCAGAGCGAGTTCAGAGGGAGACCAGAGAGGGACAAGAGGGCCACAGAGAGATGAACGAGAAACCAGAGGGAGACAAGAGAGAGACCAAAGAGAGAGACTAGAGAGAGAGACCAGAGAGAGTCCAGAGGGAGACCAGAGAGAGCGTCCAGACGGGGACAAGAATGAGAAAGACCAGATGAGAAGGAAAAAAAAAGAGAAACCATCTTTTTGTTGTCATGAAACCTGGTAAAAGATCTGAAAAGTCTTGTCCAAAGGTTTGAAGATCTCCACAGTCTCTAATCGATCTCCACGTCGATGTCCACCGGCACCAGCCTGCGCACAAACACCACCTCATCGCCGCTCTCGGTCCCTGTGGTCCCTGTGGTCCCTGTGGTCCCTGTGATCCCTGTGGTCTCTTCTTCTTCTTGTTTGCACACGGCGGTCGGTTCCTCGCACTCAAAAGGCAGCACAAACACACGCTTCATGTAGTCTTCTCCTCGTGCGCTCTTACGCACCATCGCCAGCACCTGCACCAGGAGACGCAAAAGACCAGAAAGAGTCAGAGCACGTACAGAGCCAGACCTCGCTGGTTTTTTCATTTTTAACTCCCTAGTACCACTAAAATTGTAATACTCAGTTTATATATTTGTTTAAATCCTTTCTATAACTAATTATTTTATTATTATTTAACTATTATTGTTTGTAAAGCTTGCTTATTGAATGTTCCTATGTATATGTTCACCTTGGTGTGTAAAATTTAAAAAAATATATATATATATTATACGGTCGCGTTTATAAATTCTATCGCACTATTTTAATTTAAAAATATGTATTATAGATTTAATTTTAAATGAATTGTTTCTTCTAACTATATCAAGTATTTAGTATAGAAAAGGTGACTTCTTTATAACTTAGCACTCTCTGTAGAACTAAACTATAAAGTACTAAACCTTCATCAGATTGGTAAATATTCCTGTTTAGTGAACCAGGACAGTATCCGAGTATTACACAAAAAATTAACTTTTAGTCCTAAGACTCTAAGCCAAGCTCTTCGAACGAGACTTTAGGAGTTCTAGGCAGGGCAAATTTGTAGATGTAATAAAAGATTATACAAGTTCAAAACCACACAAACATTTACAAAACAAGAATGAAACAAAAGAAAATAACTTGAGGCTGAGGCTGCGCTCTGGTATGTGTCTTTCCTTTCACAGAAAACCTTGAACCTTTATCAAATTAGTGTTGATAGTACAATGACCTCGCCTGGTCCTACCGCCCCCGCTCGCTGAACGGTCGGATGATTTACAACATGTAGGAAATGACCATGGACCAGAGTTTACACATGGTAAGACCAGACGTACATGTAGGAGATGATCATGGACCAGAGTTTACACAGGGTAAGACCAGACGTACATGTAGGAGATGATCATGGACCAGAGTTTACACATGGTAAGACCAGACGTACATGTAGGAGATGATCATGGACCAGAGTTTACACATGGTAAGACCAGACGTACATGTAGGAGATGATCATGGACCAGAGTTTACACATGGTAAGACCAGACGTACATGTAGGAGACACAAGTAGGAGATGATCATGGACCAGAGTTTACACATGGTAAGACCAGACGTACATGTAGGAGATGATCAATGGCCGGAGTTTACGGACGGCTACGGCTAAGCTAACAATGGCCGAATCTTAACTTGTCCCAGATTGTGCCGGTCGTAAATCTGTCGCATGTGTTTGTTTTCTCAGAGACTCTGCCACGGCTCACGGTGAATCCCGGGTTCAACGTCACCTTAACAAACTTTATATTTTTTAATGATGTTGTCCTCCTCATAAATCTGTCTATCTGTTTAAGTTATGTTCGTTGTTCTAAACTATTTTCACAGATTGGCTAAGTCTGAGAGATTTACACCAGGGGTCTCCAATCTGTAGCTCGCCAAAGGAATTAGAATTTAACAAATGATCTTGAATGAATCCTTTTTGAGCCATTCCATGTCTATTATAAGTATAAACACAGGGTTAGACAGTATTATGGTGTATTTTATATGTGTTCTCGGAGTTTGGTCGTAATTATTAGATTGACTTTTATTACGACTGCAAAAAGGTGTAGCTCTCTGCCTGTTTGTATAAAAGTAGCTCTCTGATTGAAAAGGTTGGAGACTCCTGATTTACACTAACTGCTGGAGGCTGAAAGTGTTTTTGTTACAGACTGAAGGATGCCAGGTCTGTGTCTGGGGCCTTCCTGTCTCGGGTCGACAAACCGTAGAGTTCCTCACGGGGATAGTCAGGCCTTTTATATGAAATACAGTTGGACATGGGAGGAGCGAGACGATTTCCCAAATTCATATCACAACAGTTGACATCACAGGAACTTTTATTTGAAGTCACAAGACCATCTTTGTGGCTCTCTGGTTTCTGTCCCTTATGTCTCGCGCTCGCTCTCCCTCTCTCTCTGGTCTATCTCCCTCTCTCTCTCTCTCTGGTCTCTCTCTCCCTCTCTCTGGTCTATCTCTTCTCTCTCTCTCTGGTCTATCTCTTCTCTCTCTCTCTGGTCTATCTCCCTCTCTCTGGTCTCCCTCCCTCTCTAGTCTGTCTCTCTCTCTCTCCCTTTCTAGTCTCTCTCTAGTCTCTCTCCCTTTCTCTGGTCTCTCTCTCCCTATCTCTAGTCTCTCGCTCTCTGGTCTCTCTCCCTCTCTCTAGACTCTCTCTCTGGTTTGAGAGCCGACTGTCTTGAGAGAGGGTGGTCCTTTCTCACTTTGCTTTTTGAAAAAGCCGATTTATGGATGTGACAGAAGCTGGAAATACATGCGGGTGAGAACTATAGTGATAAGAGCAAAGTGTTGAAGCGCCGGGACCGAGACATGGACTTAATGCCTAGCGTACATCGGACTGGCAACTGATTATATCCGTCGCATATGAGTTGCTGCCCCGCACACATCGACAATCTGACGAAAACGGGCAACTCCCAGTGGCAGACCAGTCTCGGGAATAACAGCGCGTACATCGACAGCAACTGGCCTCAACTACAGTGTGTTTTCTGACATAAACTGTTGCGGGCGCGCAATACACACAATACACACATGCTGTCGGAGCGGCGCATGGAGCGCGCACATCGGGTGTCCCGTGTTCTACTTTTTGGCAACTAGTTGTCCTCAGTTTCGGAGATATGACCCGATGTGCGCGCTCCATGCGCCGCTCCGACAACGTGTACTGTGTACAGTATACAGTAAAGTAAAAAAGCAACAATAGTAACAATTCGTGGTTGCATATTTATACAGAATGCACTGCTGTTATTTATTATTGTGTGATTTTAATTGTATTTTTATTGGTGATTTTGTAATTGTTTTATGTGATGATTTGTGCCTTGTTTGGTGTGGACTGTGAGGAGCTTTGCATTGCCCTGTGCAGGAAAATAACGCTATAAAAAAGGATTGATTGAGAAGGATTAGAACCTTCTGGAGGTGGTCGGCAACTGTTCAACAGCAGAAACACTGTGGGCACGCACAGCAAAAACAGTTCCATTGAGCGTCACAGAAAACTGATAAAAACAGATAAAATGACTGCAGTGTTTTGTTTAAAGTACTGTCGTGTGTTGCTTCCAATCTGAAAGTGTGTTCACATGATGCAAGTGTGTGTCGTTTTGTCCTCAAGAGTTTCATTTTGACAAATGATTGTTTAGTTTTGACAGCAGAACTTGAGTTTTGATAAGAGTTTCATTTTGAGACAGATGTGTTTGGTTTATGTCCCAGAGGAGTTGGATTACATTTTGTGCAGAGTTTTGGGAAAATGAGCATCATTTTGCAATTTTTTAAAAATGATGACACCAGAGAAAGGAAGAGAGAGCGAGACTTAAGGGACAGAGACCAGAGGGAAACCAGAGAGATAGACTCCAGAGAGGGGACCGACCAGAGAGCCACAAAGATGGTCTTGTGACTTTAAATAAAGGTAACTGTCATGTCAAACTGTTGTGATATGAATTTGGGAAGTTGTCTTTTACCTTCCATCTCCTGCATTGCAGAAAAATATAGTTACGTACCCCAGCTTTAAAGGTGTTCTTACTTCCAGGACCACCTGCAACAACAATACTATAGTAATTAAGACTTGTGTGGTACCTGTGAGGCCACTGCCCAGGCAAACTCCACGCGCCGGTGTCCCTGCGAGCTCAGGTCAAAGTTGTAGTCCAGGATTTCGTACAGAGTCGGGACGTAGCGCTTGCATTTGGCACGGACGTAACGGTGCACCTCAAAAAGCGCTCCCCTAGTCAACACCGACAGTTCCAGCTTGCGCTTGGTAGGAGACTTGTGACTCAAGTTTAAGTCCAGCCCGATTTCTTTGCAGGTGTCGTAGGTAAGGATCTCTTTGGCTTTTGGTGGCGAGGGGCTCTCCAGTTCCACCTCGGGGCCCGTTCTTTTGGCTAGCTTCCCGTACACCTTCAAATCCACGGTGTCGTAGCGCCACGGGTTTTGCCGCATGCTCACGGACGGCTTCTTCAGCGTGATCCTGTTCAGGATCAGCCACCGGTGAAGGCCTCTCGCTTCCTCAGATGCCTCATCTCGCATTCTCACGTGGAAGTTGTGCTCCAAAAGCTCACGCATCAGCCGCTCCGAGCTGCTGCAAAGGCGTCTGCTGAAAGCAAAGAACTCAAGCAGTGCGCCGTTGGTTAGCGTGTTCAGAGCGAGCTTCTCCCCCGGGGGTCCTGTCAGTGACCAGAGGTTCACGCCAATTCTTCTACAGTGAGGAAACTCGTCATCCAGTCCCGCGCCTGATATCGCTGGCTTCTTGTGAGCGTTTGCGATTTCTCTGGATGCGTACACCTCTAAGAACTGGACACGCGTATTCAGAAGTTCCTCCGTGAGCTCCTGGTTCAGTAAGCCCCTTTCCTTCCCATTCAGATACGACTGGAAGTTTTCAGGGAAGGTGTAGTCAAAGTGGCGCTCCAGCAGGTCCCGCAGGAAGTTGTTCATGTTGCGCGACAGTTTAGAGCAGAACTTGTATGTTTCGAACAGTGTGTGGTTCGTCAGATACTTCTTGTCCAGTTTTCTCACGCATACGGACGCAACGTTATAATCCAGCTTGATCTTCCTGCTGTGACTCAGAAAGTAATTCCCCTCATTGCCATAGTGCAGGATTTCTGTGACGCGTTTCCCACGGTGCGCCCACTCTCTCTGCGTCACCGACTTCTGCTTCATCGTCAGATCGTCGCCGGAAAAGATCTCGGAAATTGGCAGCTCAGGGGAAGTTGAGGGTGAGTACATTCTACTACAGCTGGGATGGACTTCCGGACTTCCCCAATGCATTGTTTGATGAGTGGATTGTGGGAATTCTATGTTGACCTCCAGATTTTCGCTTTTAACGCTTTCAAGAAGTACACTCTGAGGTAAAGAGCTTTCAAAGTCGACTGGGCACATGTAGGACTCGCTTTGGTCCGGTGAGGAATCATAGCACCACTGCTTCATCTTCTTCTCTGCCGGATGATTCTCCACCAAGTCCTCCACCTCTGTTCTTCGTTTGATTCTGGTGGATTTCTGCATGAACTTAAACGGTGTCTCGAAGAACGCAGCGTAGCTGGAGTGCGGCGTGCTGTACTTTTTGCTGATGATGGACTTCACCTCAACGTTTAAGTAGATGGGTTCAAACACTGGGCCAAAATTGTGCAAAATCAGTTCCTGGAGCATTTGGAGGTTCTCTTTTCCTTTTTCCAGACCAGACATAATATAGACGAAGTTCACAATCTCCAGAACCGTCCTGTTGGTCAAGAGCGCCGTGTTGAGTTTCTGTGGTGGTGCCTTCGCGCCCCGCAAGACGAGTGTGACGCCCAGCTCTCGACACAGAGGGAACCGGTCCATGCTCAGCTGTTGGCGTTTCTTACTTCCAACTTTTCTCACCAGGAACGGGTCGCCGATCCGGTCATCGTACGCCGGCATGGTTCCTGCCATGAACAGGCTGTTGTTGTGTTCAGCTGAGGTCTCAGTTCTCTCTGGAGAAACCTCTGGAAGCCTGAAAACGCTGTAGAGCTTTTCCAAACTCCTCTGGCTACTGCTGTGATGGCGGCGCAGCCCTTTGGCCGCGCTGTAAGCTTTGCGCGCGTACGCTAAGCAGCGTGGATTGTCCCAGTCCATGTCCAGGTCAAAGTTAAACTGCAGAACATCGAAGAAGAAGAGGCACGCGGCTTTGTGCACGGCTTTAACGAAGCCGAGGAGGTCCACCATGATACCGTTGTTGAGAAGTTCAACTGGAATTTTTTGTTGTCGCGGAAACGCCACATTGAACTCTATGCCAACGGCCGCCGCGTATGGAAACATGGTCGCAACATCAAAGTCTTTTACCACTCGCCAAATGCGGGACTGCCACACGTAGTTACTATCGATGTGGTCTGCACCTGCACGGCCTGCGCTCTGCACGTCTGCAGCATCTGCTCCGTCTACCAAGCCTGCTGCGTCTACCGAGCCTGCTGCGTCTGCCGAGTCTGCCGAGCCTGCTGCGTCTGCTGAGTCTGCTGCGTCTGCTGCGTCTGCTGCGTCTGCTGAGTCTGCTGCATCTACCAAGCCTGCTGCGTCTATTGCATCTGCTGCGTCTGCTGAGTCATCTGAGTCTGCTGCGTCTATTGCATCTGCTGCGTCTGCTGCGTCTATTGCATCTGCTGCGTTTATTACGTCTCCTGCATCTGCTGTGCCTGCTGCGTCTACTGTGTCTATTGTGTCCATTGCAACTGCTGCATCTACTGTTTCTGCTGCGTCTGCGTGGTCCGTTTCTTCGTTCATTGTGAAAATGTCTTTCAAAGTCCCAGACAAACTTGAGAACCCAGGGATCAGGTTTGAATCAAATGGGAATCTTCATGAATCTGAAAGAAAAAAAGTTGTTAGTTTGGCGGGAGTTTTTGGTCAGGTGGATCACTTTCTCACAGAAACTGAAACACAACATGAAACCAGTTGAACATAAGCCTCCTGCTCAACTCGACTCGCACAGAGGGAGCCGCCATTTTGTCTTATCAAAACAAACCAGCGACTGTCTGAAATCAGCAAAGAAACCTTCTTGGTCTTTCCTTGTTTGCTTATTAAGACTGGGCGGCTCAAAGTTTGGCAAAGTGGAATTTAGCATCATTTCAATATTTTTTTTACTTTTGATTGTGCTGGAAACAGCTGCAAGTCCTAAGAAGCTCCACAATTGTTATTAGGCCCAAGCCCCAACTGGGGTAAGGGCCTATTACTTTCCCAATGAGTAACTGTAACTGTCATAAGTCACAATCTCCGGGCGCAGCGACGGCACGTGCCCAGACACTGATAAAACTGAATGGCTTTACTCCTGCTATGGGGGGGAGGGGGTGACCTCATGATGGCGAGGTCAACCCAATAGTTGCGTTCGTCTGGAGGTATCATTTGTTTTATAGGTTACTATGGAAACCTATTGTATTGTTACAGCATGTCATTTTTACTCCTGACCGCTAGAGGGCGCTTGTTCTGGGGATTGTTTTAAGTTTGGTTTGTAGGTGGGGCAGAAGTAAACAAACCTGTGCTGTGAACAAACCATGAGGTGTTGTCTATCAGAAGCCATCCACTCACTTCCATCCCTTTGAGTGACAATATGAGTGAGTTTTATGTTTGAGATGCATGTTTAGAACTTTATTTGTGAACTATGGTTGTTAGATGTGCAACGTTTATTACCTTTATTGAAGATTTTGGATAGTGATGTGTGTTCAATCTACTGAGCCCAGCTAAGGTTAACCTTTGACTGTGTTTGCTATTTTTTGATATAGACACTTTATTTTACTGCATTCTGAATACCTGTTTGTATTTTGTGTTTGCAGTTTCACACTTTTCTGCATTAAATCTTGGTCCACTACAACACCTGCCTGTTACTTGGAGGAAATGATGCATTAAAGAGTTTAGCTGCCTGTGAATCTCAATTAGGACACTGGGTCACATTGGGTGCAACAGTACACCTATATTGTTTTTGCTAAAAGTAAAAAAATAAATCAATAAAATTATTCCTTGGTTTATTTATTTGGCCCGAGCCCCAACTGGGGTAAGGGCCTATTGCTTTCCAAACGAGTAATTACTCTTTGTAACTGTCCGGAGGCACGGAATGGCTTTGCTCCTGCTGTAGTACAATACAATACAATTTATTCTTGTATAGCCCTAGGTCACAACAGAAGTCATCTCAGAGACTTAACAAAACCATTGAAATCACCAACACAGGTCAGAGAATCAACAGTTAAAACACATGAAGAATATAAAGCACACACAGAAGAAAATGTCCATACATGTTGTAGAATGCTAAAGTGTCCTGATCATCACCAATCCTTTCTGTTGGACACTAACTGTCCAACAAGACCCTCCTGCATCGACAAGGAAAAACTCTTAAAAAACCCAGTGGGAAAAAGTGAGAAACCTTGGGGAGACCTAGGGAAACCCACAGGGAGGGAGACCCATTTGAGAAAGGGATCCGCTCCTCCGGACGGACAGGCCAATGATCTAGGACCTAAGCTAGCTACAGAACGTGGACCAGTGGCCGCTGAACGTGGACAGGTCCGGTGCAGGACTGAAGCACTCCCAGGCGGGTCGGGCGGGGCAGTCCGCAGGTGTAGATGGAGGAGGCCAGGCTCAGAGATCCCGTCATCGTACCATGAAACACAATGGGACAACGGGTGAATAGCAATGAACAAACTACAGTCAAAATCCTAAAAATGCTAAACAGATGAAGTAGGAAGGAGGAGAGGATAGTGCTCAAGTTACCATACTTCTCCAGCAGGGGGCTCCCTATGCAGCTTGACTGACAGTCTGAGGAGTTTAGCCTTCCCTGAGTCTTACCTTCCTAGCCATATGCTAAACTAAAGAGGACTGTTTTAAACCTAGCCTTGAATAAAGAGAGCGTATCTGAAAGGAGGCAAGACAACAGCAGCCACGTCTAGGCTAGTCTAGGTTACAGCACCAAGATTCATGGATTGCACACCAGGTGTGCAAACCGATCCAGGCAAACCTAATTATATATTATATATACACCATACATACCATATATATCATATATAATACATAACATAACATACAGCATAATATATATAACATAATATACAACATAATACATATATTGTATAATATAAAACATAATACAGCATATATATAATATATACACCATATATTATATATTACCTAATTATATGCTAAATTAAAGTAGAGTGCTTTAAGCCTGGCCTTGAATGTGGAGACCGTATCTGCTTCCTTAACATAAATTAAGCTGATTCCACAGTAAAGGAGCTTGGTAGCTAAATGCTCTGCCGCCAACAGTGATTTTTGAGACCTTAGGAACCACCAGACGTCTGGCGTTTTGTGAGCGCAACGCTCGACTTGGTTGATACGACACTAACGTGTCTTGGAGATAAGAAGGAGCCAAGCCATTTATGGCTTTATATGTTAAGAGAAGGATTTTAAACTTTATTCTGTACTCCACAGGGAGCCAGTGGAGTGATTTTAACACCGGAGTTATGTGCTCCCTCCTTTTGGTACCTGTTAAGATCCTAGCTGCTGTATTCTGAACGAGCTGGAAGCTCTTCAAAGAGGCTTTAGGGCACGCTGCCAATAAAGCGTTACAGTAGTCAAGTCTGGAGGTAACAAAAGCGTGAATAATAGTACACAGTGAAATGATTGAAATCCTATTAAAGGGGTGGGTTCCTTCAACTGTCTTACGGAAATAAAATTAATAACATAAAAATCCAACATAGGTCCCCTTTAATGTCTATATAAAGTTGACATAAAATACGTAAATAAGTGATGTAAACCACAAACAGAGGTAGCTCAAATGGAATGCAATTTCAAAACGTTCTACCGGTCATTATTTCTTTATAATAGAACAATATCTCAAAACAATAATGACCGCTGCCCTTTGGCAACGCATTCTCTGCTTAATTCATCTGTGTAAATTGCTCCACAAGTAGTTCCGGTCGCTCCGGAGCTAGCCACGCTCATTAAACGCAAATACCAATCAATCAACGCAATTAAATGTTAATCGGAGAATACATTACACAAATACATTCTTAATACAAGTGCGCGGAAGTTTTCAGAATTTTCCGTTTCCGTTTTCATGACAAAACACTGATGTAATGCGAGAAAAGGCGATCCCGAAAAAACCCGGAAGTAGATACTGGCACATTTTAGGAACATTTGCAGAGGATTGAATTATGGATTTAGGTTAAGTTTATGTTTGGGTCACTCACCGCTGATGTTCACAATTCTTTGTTCAGTTTTCATGCAGTTCCAGAGAGTTCTAGTTTGGAAGTTGATAGCTTAACTGTTGCTAGCATAGCCACGGGAAAGCCTTTGGGAACTATTTTATTTTCTTTCTTATTTTAAATAAACCTTTCGGCATTCCTATAAAAGTGGACTGAAGTTTATGTTGTGTGTTCTGTTGGTACAAAGCAGTATAATCAGGGCGAAGCGGACGGCGACGCACTCGCCCTGTCTGTAATTATTTTCCGATAATGACCTGCGTAACATACGTTATCCCTTACTTATTTAGAAGAAATATCTTGGCAGATGCTGGTGCTAAGTGTATTGGGTGCAGTTCTGACTGCTACCCGCCCGACCTAGAAATGGATTAAGGGGAAGAAAATGGATGGATGGATCTTGGCAGGTAAAAAACTAGAAATTGTCGCTATAATTAAGATTTCTAACCTTAGTTAGATATTTATTTTTGCAGTGTGGCGGAATGCCATTGTCTTGCCTAACCATAACCACAGTTTGCCACATTGCAGCCGTCCCACTGTGGCACCTGGTGTTCCCTGAGGTCTCCCATCACAGTATTAACCAAGCCCTGCCCTGCACAGCTTCAGAAGGCTGATGGGATCTGGCTTTTGTGCATGTTGGTAGTTTACTCATTACCATTTGCCTTTTGTAGCATTTTAAACAAACTGCTTTTTGTTGTATTTCAAATATTGTTCACCAGTTTTAGCACTTACTAAAGTTGAGTAAATGTAAAAACAATGTATAAAGGATTTACTTTTTAATACAGATGTCAAAAAAGTAAATTTTTAGTGCATTTTCTCAGAAATCTATTGGTTTGAATGAGAGGAGTCAAAATGACGGCTCTGCAAATTCTAATTGGAGTCAGACCTCCCTGGAGCCGGTACGGAACCAGCGTGAGCTCGACATGCAGTCAAAGAGTTTATACGACAAGAGGCGCAACTCCGGTATGTCCAAGACGATGCTTCAATAACTCTCTCATGAGGGAACAAATCAAAAAAATCGGAGGCAATTATTTAAAATATGTTGTCTCTTTCAAGAATAAATAAATACAATTAAAAACTATAAAT